CAGGGGGGATGGTCACGCCGCAATCCCTTCTCCTCCATTCTCCTCTCAGGATCTTGGGCATGCACGCACACGCGCCCAGTGTGAGTTTTAAGCCACCGGGTCCGGGACACGAACCGCGGTCGACTTCGTGGGAGTCCAGCGACATAGCCATTATGCTAACTGCTGGTTCCCAGGGAACAGTTCTTTGAAATAATATTTTTATGAGAGTCTTAGAACATGAGGTCATGTTCAACTGAGAGTGGTTTTAAGCATTTGATTATACCTACAATGAAAAGTCTTACTCTAAAGGAAGGGCTTAAGTGGTGCTGTTACTGAGGGCACTGAGCTAAAGCTCCACGCCCGTCAGAAGCTGCAGTGCCCGCGTGCGGCTCCGTGGTGCCCACGTGCGGCTCCATGGTGTCCACGTGCAACTCCGTGGTGCCCGCGTACGGCTCCGTGGTGCCCGCGTGAAGCTCCGTGGTGCCTGCATGCAGCTCCACAGTGCCCGCGTGAGGCTCCACAGTGCTCGCGTGCAGCTCCGTGGTGCCCACGTGTGGTTCCACAGTGCCCGTGTGAGGCTCCACAGTGCTCGCGTGCAGCTCCACGGTGCCCGCGTGAGGCTCCACAGTGCTCGCGTGCAGCTATGTGGTGCCTGCGTGTGGCTCCACAGTGCCCGTGTGCAACTCCGTGGTGCCCGTGTGCAGCTCCGTGGGCCTGCCTAAGACTATGGGACAAGGTGTTCAACAAGTGGGACCCCAGCTCTGCCCCACGGCGACCACAGGCAGCAGAGGAGCAGGGCCTATGACGATTCCCCCGACCCCTCCCCAGTCACCCAGGCCACGTTGACGGGGCTCCAGCCTGGCCAGAGCAGCCGGAGCCCAGCCGGTGCCAGCAGCAGAGTCTGGGCCTGCGGCCGCACCTGCAGGGGGCCAGCCCTTACCTTTCAGGGTGGCTTTCTTGAGGACCTTCATGGCGTAGAGCTGCCCGGCATCAGAGCCCCGGGTCTTCCTCACCAGGAACACCTGGTGGAGAGAGCAGAGACACTGGCAGGAGCCCTCGGGCTCAGGGCATGGCCGGTGGTCAGGGCATTTCTGACTCAATGACAGCACTAGGAAAGCTGAGAACGCTGGCCCCTCTGGGCCGCCAGGAAGACTCCGTCTGGCACACAGCTGGGGACATTGTGACATGTCTGTGAAGGGTCACCGCGTGCTCTTGACCAGTGGCTTTCTACATGATGGCAGAACTGACACCACCCCCTTCTCTGGGAAGACCCGGTGTTTAGGAGAACTGGCGACGTCCCAACGTTTTCAGGGAGGTTACTGGCTTATCTAACACCCTCTGTAAATCTTTTCTCCCCCTTGCTACACAGCACGGGCATTTGCTGGAGAGACAGAGGGAGGGAAGTGAGAAATCACCTTTGGGAGGATGACCACTCTGCAGTCTCCTGCAGGGACTTTCGGCACACGCCTGCACGCACTGCTGTGGTTTTAAAGCTGCCGGGTCCGGGACTCGAACCACACAGTTTAAGTGGGATCCAGCCGCCCCAACCACCGTGCTACCTAACTGGCCGTCCCCTGTAGGTCCTCAGGGCCAGTCTACTGCGAGTGATTTTTACTGTTAATCACAGGAAACAGGCCCTGTCTCGTGCCCAGTGTGAGATAAGCCAGTTTCTTGTACTGCACCTTCCTCACCGGAATCTTAGCTGTGAGCAGCTTTGGTTCATAGGCAGAGGGAATTTCTTTCTTTCCTTTTCTTTTGAGAGTTTTTTTTTTTTTTGCTATAGGGCGCGTACACTAGCCAGAAAGAGACAGAGAGACAGAAAGCGAGAAATCACCCCCTGGGGGGGATGGCCACGCTGCAATCCCTTCTCCTCCATGCTCCTCTTGGGATCTTTGGCACGCGCACACACGTGCCAGGCGTGAGGTTAAGTCACCGGGTCCGGGACTCGAACCACGTTCAACTACATGGGAGTCCAGCGACATAGCCATTACACCAACTGCTGGTCCCATTGCTTGCTTGCTTGCTTGCTTTCTTTCTTTCTTTCTTTCTTTCTTTCTTTTTCATTAATTTACTTTACATTCCTTCGCTATCCTCATACACTGACCATTGTCACAGCATATAAGATGTGATTTCCCATCCAGAACACACTGCATAGTGGCTTAATCATACATGTTATCATCAGTAAATAACTTTCCATTTCTCGTTTCATATATTCATATGCATATGTATTTCCCCCATCTCTCACCCTCTGCCATTTCCCGCCCTTCTCCCACAGTCTCTGGTGTCTATAATTGCTTTCCAGTCTTTTTCTTCCCTGTCCCCCCCCCACATTTCATTGATTCACAAGATATCTTAATTAATCTAACTACTTTCCACAGCAAGTTCAGCCGATATATCCCTATCGGTGAACACACATCTGACTTGAGGCGTGAAGCTCTGGGTGGAATGAATAGACTACGAAGTAGCACCTGGCTGAGGCTAAACAGCTTACTGAGGCCATTAAATAGGTATTTTTAAATATATTTTTTAATTTCAAGAGAAGCAGTTTTAGCGTTAATAAATCAAAATTTTAAAAAATGCTAAGAGAGCTTTGCTTAGAACTTAAAGCCAGGAAACAGGTTAGGATTCTGTTCAAATAGTAGGTGCATAAACCTATCGGCAGCTCAAGACAGGACACAAATCCTTAAATCAGGAAAACAAAGCCTAGAAGAAAATCAGTACTGTTTTAGTCAAAAGTCGTAAGATTCTATTGCACCAGTTCGGTCCCATGTACTTTATCTTCTGTTGTGCTCCGGTCTTCCTGTTTAAGTTTCGGAAGATAACATTCAGCTCCAGACCTGGCACTAGCATTAAGTAGGCCATTTTCTGATTTGTTATTGAACTCTTATTTCTCTGTGTCTGTATTTAGTTTTCCTGGTATAGGACTCCCTTCAAAACTTCTTGCAGAGCTGGGAACCAGCAGTTAGCGTAATGGCTATGTCGCTGGACTCCCACGTAGTCGACCGTGGTTCGTGTCCTGGACCTGGTGGCTTAAAACTCACGCTGGGCGCGTGTGCGTGCGTGCCCAAGATCCCGAGAGGAGAATGGAGGAGAAGGGATTGCGGCGTGACCATCCCCCCTGGGGGGTGATTTCTCGCTTTCTGTCTCTATGTCTCTCTCTGTCTGTCTGGCGAGCGCACGCGCCCTACAGTGAAAATCTCTCAAAAAAAAAAAAAAAGAAAAACTTCTTGGAGAGCTGGTCTGGGGTGGGTAAATTCTTTCAGGTTTTGTTTATCTGAGAATGCTCTTGACTTCTCTTCCCATATAAAGGAAAATCTTGCTGGGTACAGTACTCTTGGTTGAAACTGTTTAACCCTTTGAATACATTTTCCCATCCTTTCCTCGCTCGCATTGTTTCCGATGAGAGGTCACTGTTAGCCTGATGGGTATCCTTTGTAGGTAACTTGCCATTTCTCTCTTGCCAACTTCAGTATTTTTTGTCTGTGGTTTTGGTCAGTGTGTCTTGGAGAAGACCGTCTTGGGTTGATTCTATGTGGGGTCCTTTGTATTTCTCAGAATGGGATCTTTGAGTGCCTCTCTAGGTTTGGAAGGTTTCCTTCCAGGATTTCATGGAATAGCTGATCACTGCCCTTAACAGTTCTTCACCTTCTGAGATACCCATTATCCAGATGTTTGGACAGTTAATGGTATCTAGTGTTTCTTGTATATTATTCTCATTTTGGAGAGGCTATTTTCTCAGTCTTTGTGGTGGATTTTTCTAGGCCAGAGTTCCTGTCTTTCACATTTGAGATCTGATCTTCTGCATGGTCTAGTCTGCTTTTAATACTCTCACGGGAGGTTTTGATTTCCCGTATTACAGCTTTCATCTCTAACAGCCGTTTGACTCTTTTTTATGGTGTGTATTTCCTCTTTCGGATCGTGCAAGAACTTCCTCACCTCCCTTAAAGAGCCACACGGATGTTTGACAAGTCCCTGACATGTCATAAAGGAAAACAAGAAAGAAAAGGTAATCTAGAGGTGGAGTTTAAAATTGTCTTAATGATTTTCTTACAGTATACGTATTTTTTAATTGCCAGAGGGAGAGGGAGTGCATTCTCACATTCTCACCAGGGAGAAAGAGAGACAAAGTCCCCCCCTCATGGAGTGTGGCTTCATTGCAATCCCTTCTCCGTTTCCGTCAGGATTTGGGGCACCCCCACATACCTGGCATGTTTTTAAAGCCTCTGGTGCCGGGATTTGAACCACAGTCAGCCATGGGGATCCAACTCCCTTAATCGCTATGCTACAAAGCTGGCCCCAGAGGTTTTGTTTTAATAAGGAAAGTGAGGGGGAGTGGGGAAAGAAGGAAAGGCAGACACAGAGATGGGTATTTCTACAGGGCCTCACAGAGCCGCACCTTCCTGCCCCAGCCGCCGGTGAGCTGCGGACCCAGACCTGTGGACCACGCCCGGCGCACTCACGTTGGCCTGGGAACGGAAGCGTGGCCTCCAGGGGAAATGGACTTACTTCCTTTAAAGTATTTCCAGGAGATGTGAAACGGCGCGGCTCGGGAGCAGCCCCGTGAGTTTCTCCCCGCTGTGTGGGCAGAGGTGCCTGCTGTGCGGAGACGCCCACTGTCTACCCCGAAGACTCCACCCAGACCCAGTGAAGGACCAGCCGCTACAAGTGCAGCATGGACGGTCTAGCACAGGTGAACTCCCCGTGGCCAGTCCGGCCACTATCTCAGAGCCGCCGGGGCCACACGCCCCGACGTGCACGAGCATGGGGTGCAGTCAGTGTGCAGACGCGGCCGGGGGCGGTGGCTCTGCCTGCTCTCGGCCAGCGCCGAGAGACGGGAGTGGGAGCCAGCCCAGCACAGGACCCCACGGCAGGCTGGGGTGAGGCAGACCAGCGGAGACCCTCAGGCGGGCTGAGACGGTTCTGCATGCATGTGGATTCCTGGAGGCTCAATGTCACTGCCCTGTTGGGGCCACAAGCCCTGGCAGTGTCAGCTGCTCCTGACTGGCATGGCCCCGCTCCTAAAGATCACCTCGCCAACCCCAGCCCTCCCTAGATGGGGACATCTCGTGTCCATGGGGACTGCCTATATGCCTCTGCCCAGGCAGATCTGAGGGTGCAGGGGGCAGCCCGGCCCAGCCGTTCCACACCAGGCTGCCTCCAGGAATGAGGGAGGCTCCGGGACCACCACGATTAGAAATGGGTCCCCCTTCTCCCAGGGCTTTGGGTTCCACCTTCACTGAGAATCAACACTTGTCCTGGGGAAGATAAGGAGTGGTCTGAGTATGTGTGCACACTGGCGTGTGTGCGCTCACAGCCGGTGCACACCGGCCCACCCTGCAGAGCCCGCAGCGCTCACCTGGGGCGCGGGTGCCCAGAACCGACCCCGCCGCCGCCTCCTCACCAGGCTCCGCAACAGCGAAGGGCGGACGGTGAATGAGTTCAAAGAACAGGGAAATCCACCTCCCTGAAGTCTGAACGGGACACCCGCCTGCGTGGGACACCCGTCTGCGTGGGACACCCGCCTGCGTGGGTTAGCTTCACGGAGAGTCTGTGTGGGACGCGCTGCTCTGCGGCACTTCGGGGGTTAACCATACGAGGGCCAGGGCTGGGCGGTGGCAAGTGGTGAAGTGTGGCACTTGGCTGACCCAGGGGACCTCCCTGAGGGCACTGGGCATGTGGGGTCACCTGGGGCCTGGCCAGGGTGGCTCAGGTCACCAGGACCCTGTGGAGGGCACGCTTCCTCGCTCTGTCCCCCTCCCTGACTTTCCTGACCACGGAGGAGATAAATAAACTTAAAAGATGCTTGATGTCATGGCTAAGGATTTACACATACCTGTTTTTATTTAAAAACATTTTTAAATGCACGTATTTCCTGTGAGAGACGGACAGACACAGGGAAAGGGAGTGGCCACCAGCAGGGTCTTCACAGAGATCCACCCCTGTGCACACGCGTGTGTCCGTGTGTGTATGCGCAGGGCCCAGGAGGAGACCCAGGCCTTACACGGCTTCAGCACTGCGGAGCCTGCGTCCTGCCGGGCCACTGCAGCCAGCTGCTGTCTGCCTGCTTCGTGCTCTTGAAAAGATCAGGCACGCCCCGCCTGTGGGTGCTTACCCGGCTCCCACCTGGGTGGGCACGGTGGGCCGCAGCGGGGCAGGGGGTGCCTTGCCGGCCGGCAGGGGCCCCAGCAGGAGGTAAGTCCAGCTGGACTTAATGATCAATGGCCGACCCTCACGCTCCCCTGCCGACCCACACCGTGACCCGAGCACGTCTTTGTCCGGGTCACCTGTCAGTCCTCTGGCAGCCGGTCTGCGTGTGGTGAGGTGTGTTTTGGACCAACGCTGTGGGCTCAGGGGGCCTAGTCTGAGCCTTGGTTTGATGAGCTTCCTGGCTTCGCTCGGAGCTGCCCCTCCAGGGGCTCGGCAAGCTGCACACGGACACGTTGGTGAGGGACAGCCATCACTCCGTGCTGCCCCAAATGGCCCGGAGGCGGGTCCACAGCCACTACCTCGTCTTGGCGACACTTCCGTTCTCTGAGCTGGGATGCAGCCGTGGGCCTGCAGAGTCCTCCAAGCACAGGGCGACCGAGGGGGGTCCCACTCCCCTCAGACACACGAAGCCCGTCCTCAGGATGCCACCAGTTCAGACGCAGGACAGCAAGGCACGTCGGGGTGTTGGCTTGCTGACCTCGTAGGGGCCCGACCCTTCTCTGCACTCCCAGGGAGCACGCAGTCTGGCTGCCCCATCCCTGGAATGCTCACGGCCACACTGCATGGCCTCTCCAGTTCCATGTCTGAGCCGCTTCCTTGGGAGGCTGAGGCTGTCGTGGTTGTGTGTCCTTCCCTGCATCCAAGCCCACCCCGCACTGCCCCCTCCACACGGCGCATACCCTGTGGCTTCGCTTTGCAGAACGGAGCTCAGACATGAGGAGGACAGACGTGTGTCCAGGATGTGGAGATCAGAGGCTCCGGTGTGGCCCTCCCTCCGCTGTCCGAGCTGCTCCCAGGGACGATCTTGTCACGGCCGAGGATAGCGTCAGTGGGGTGTGATGAGTCATTCAGGTGTCCCTGAGCAGTCTGGATGGAGCCAGGCGCGGCACCAGGACAGCCACCGCAGACCACGTCCCTCGGTCTGCGTCTCCAGCGTGTTTGGCATCAGGTGGAAGGGAGGAGCAGAGGGGCTGTCTATGGCAGGCAGCTAGGAGCCCTGCTCACGGGTTGGACCCCGGCAGGCCTGCCAGGGCCCGAGCCCTGCTCCCGGGAGCCGAGTCGGCGGGAATTGCTTCCTGCAGGACGCGGACGCCCTCCCTGCCCAGGGCCCTGTGAGGACCACTGTCTGTGGTTTGGGGAGCACCATGAGGAGGATGGACGCCCCCTGCTGGCCCTCAGTGCTGCTCTCATAACCCTCCTAGCTGAGGACGGGCGTGCACTTGCATGTGTCTCTGGACCCCGCTGGCTCCAAGCTCTCCACGGGGAACTGCTGACGCAGCTTTTCCAGAAGACACCTCCTTTTCAGGCTCCTGCTTGGTCAGTCCGTGTAGGGGCCCTGGACCTCATCCCGTGCCACCGCGCCTGGCCTGGCACCCCAGCCTGCACACAGTGGCCTCCACAGGTCGGGGGTGGGCAGAGCGGCCCCTCCTCCTCCTGTTCCTCCTGCTTCCTGTCACACCCGGAGCTCCCTTGACTCCACAGAGCTGTACCGTGAGCACCATGGGCGGCGGGCCAGGGAGAGTGGTGTGAGGTCACCCTTCCGGGGTCAGCAAGACACCACCGTTTTGCTTAGTGTTTTCTGAAGAATGTTGTTTCTACAAAAACTAAAATTTGAAATCTGAATGAGAATATTGGAGAGCCTTTTGTGCTCTCATCAGTACTGCCCTGCTGTCTGCGGAGGACACTTTCGAGGGAACCTCGGGGTCAGTCCTGTGGCTGCCCAGACACTCGGAGCCCTGGGCCACAGGTCTTTCCCCTGAGTTCGAAAGGCACATCCCATCCCCGCATCCTCCCCAACACTCAAGAGCTTCCAGCTCCAGACCAGCTGGGAGTATCTCTGATGGACTCGGGCCACCCCCTGCAGCCAGGTAGGCGGGGCCATCCCCAGGAGACACTCTCAGCAGGCAGGCAGGTGGGGCCATCCCTGGGGGACACTCCCAGCAGGCAGGTGGGGCCATTCCTGGGGGTCAGGCAGGCAGGTGGGGCCATCCCTGGGGGACACTCCCAGCAGGCAGGTGGGGCCATTCCTGGGGGTCAGGCAGGCAGGTGGGGCCATCCCTGGGGGACACTCCCAGCAGGCAGGTGGGGCCATTCCTGGGGGTCAGGCAGGCAGGTGGGGCCATCCCTGGGGGACACTCCCAGCAGGCAGGTGGGGCCATTCCTGGGGGTCAGGCAGGCAGGTGGGGCCATCCCTGGGGGACACTCCCAGCAGGCAGGTGGGGCCATTCCTGGGGGTCAGGCAGGCAGGTGGGGCCATCCCTGGGGGACACTCCCAGCAGGCAGGTGGGGCCATTCCTGGGGGTCAGGCAGGCAGGTGGGGCCATCCCTGGGGGACACTCCCAGCAGGCAGGTGGGGCCATTCCTGGGGGTCAGGCAGGCAGGTGGGGCCATCCCTGGGGGACACTCCCAGCAGGCAGGTGGGGCCATTCCTGGGGGTCAGGCAGGCAGGTGGGGCCATCCCTGGGGGACACTCCCAGCAGGCAGGTGGGGCCATTCCTGGGGGTCAGGCAGGCAGGTGGGGCCATCCCTGGGGGACACTCCCAGCAGGCAGGTGGGGCCATTCCTGGGGGTCAGGCAGGCAGGTGGGGCCATCCCTGGGGGACACTCCCAGCAGGCAGGTGGGGCCATTCCTGGGGGTCAGGCAGGCAGGTGGGGCCATCCCTGGGGGACACTCCCAGCAGACCTCCCAGCTGGCAGGTGGCGCCCTTCCTGGGGGTCAGGCAGGCAGGTGGGGCCATCCCTGGGGGACACTCCCAGCAGGCAGGCAGGTGGGGCCACCCCTGGGGACCACTCCCAGCAGGCAGACAGGCGGGACCAGCCCCTGGGGCCACTCCAGCTGCCTTTACTCAGACAGGGGGACTCCACCGACCAGACGCTGGCATGGCATGAGTTCGAATTCGCTCCCCAGGGACAGCATGCAGGCAGCGCCTGTGAAAGGTCTGTTTCCACGTCGCCGGGGCAGAGGCTGACTGAGCCCCTCCCTCACTTATCCCGTGTTTCTAAGGTACGGTAAGACTGTGGTCATGCAACATTCAACCGGCCCTGCCTCCTACGTTCCTAGCAGTGGCTTCTGACATCAGGAGAGGCTGGCACCCTCACTTCTTGCTTCATAAACACCATGGGAGCCGTGCTCCAGGGCCACGGTGTAGGCCCCGATGGCTGGGCATGGTCATCGTACGCTTCCCCTCGTCTGTGTGCATGTCGGCGTGGGCACGTGCTCCTGAAGGCATCCCACTGGGACGAGGGGGGAAGACGTCCTACCTGACGAGCATGACAAGAGGGAGACTGCAGCCGCAGCCAGGCGGCCTGTAACAGGTTACCCCAACACAAGCACGGAAAATCCAGCCTGTCAGCCGCTGGGGCCAGACTTCACGAGGAGGGGCGAGGTTTGTGGCGGCCCGTGCCACGCAGAGCGAGGTCCCTCAGAGCTGGCGCCGGTCAGGCTCTTATGCTCTGCAGGGGAGCTGTCCAGGCCGGCCCCATCCCTTCTTACGGTTAGCCCAGGGGCGCAGAGAAACGAGGGGAAGCTGCTCTGACCGCCGGTGGCATCCGAGTGGCGCTAACGGAAGGCCAGCAGTTCTCACTCCTGAGAGGGATCGCTTTTACTGCGGAGCCTCAAAGGTGAAGAGGAGACGGGAATGAACAGCTCTAGCGCATGAGTAACCACTGAGACACTGCTCTGTGGAACCCGCCTCAGCTAATCCATGCACGAACCACACGCAATACCCATTTCATGGACAAAGAAACTGAAGCCGTGGGAGGCAAGACAGCAGCACGGGGAGCGGGGGAGCCAGGGTGTCAGCCCAGACCCACCTCCTCCGCGAGCCGCGTCTGCTCCTCTCCTGACACGTCTTCCTTTCTGAAAAGCAGCCGTTGATGGCGCTCGCAGACACGCTGGCTTGAGTTCAACGGCCTGCTTGCCTTGGCAATGACCCCAAGGCCTGCGAAGCCATCAGGAGAGGGAATGAGCTGTGCGTGTGTGCATGTGTGTATGTGTGCGCGTGTGTGTGTGCACGTGTGTGTGTGCACGCACGTGTGGGGGGGCAGCGTCAGGGTGCAGGTGGTCCTCGCCACACAGCGCTGTGGGGACGGAGCCCGCTGTGCAGTGAGGCCGTGTTCACATGGGGCCTGCCTGTCGCTGTCCCCAGGTCAGGCCCGGCCCAGGCTCCTCGGTGCTCAGGACGGAGCCGCACCTGGAGCCGAAGCCCCACTCACCTTCCCGTAGGAGCCTTGTCCTAAGACTTTCAGCAGCTCGAACTGGGACGGGTCCGCCTTCTCGAACCCTTCCTTCACATGGTGGCTGATGTCGATCTCCTTCACGATGCCTTCCTCCTGCGACAGAGTGAGAGCGACAGCACGCGGTGAGCACAGCAAGGCTCCCTGTGTCAACCCAGCGCTCCCGCCCTGCCGCGGCCACGGGTGGACGTCAACATTGGGACGTCAGAGCTTTCCGCTGCGCCTGGCTACGTGCCCCGAGCTCGCCTGCCGGCCGCGTGGGACTTTCACTGTATCTGTTCCCTGCGCACTTCCGTCCCTCACTCTCAGCACCTGGAGGACACGTCACTGCACCCACCGCGCCCACCCTGCTTCGCGGCCATTTGGGCGAGCGTTTTGGCAGGGAGAGTGAAGCAGCTCGGGAATGAGACGACCTGCGAGCGTCCTTGTCTTACATCTGCACGCTGTGCTGCGGAGGGCCTGGCGGTCCCCGCAGGAGGAAGGAGTTGGAAATGCAGACAGTTACTCTTCTTCACGGTCCCTGGTGTTTCAGCACAGAGAGTGCCAAGAACCCTTCACCACCACCCGACAGACAGTGTTTCAGGACGCAGTCAGAGAAGATTTCGACAGGCTGGCAAGGCGGTTTCTTTGTAGGAAAAAGAGCCCTTCGCCTTTAAGTTAAAACATGACAGAAACCACTACGCCTGTCATGAGAGACCTTCCTGCCCTCAAGGACAAATGCTTGACTTGAAAGGGGCGGCCAATCGCCAGGCCGGCCGCTGGGAATGCAACGGGGCGGTCGGTGCTCTTCCCAACCTGAGAGCCCAACGGCCCGGCTCTCCCCGGCATGTCTCCGAGGGTCTCCCTCCACTCCTGCCAGAGCCCGACCGCCATCCCTTCTGCGGCCCTGCCTTTGGGCGAGGTGCGAAAGCATCACTACAGGCTGGCTGTGGAGCGCACCTGCAACAGCTCCCGGGACACGCGGGCACGGCCCACTCTGGCACCAGGGCTTCCGGTGTGCCACCGCCTCCAACCCCATGGAGCCCCGCGGGTGGCGATTCTCCTGGGGTGTGGCAGCACAGCAGAGGTGAGAGAGCTGGGTTTCCAGTTAGCGACCAACGCGAAGCCGTGTTCTTCTCTCTGTTTTAGTCTAAGAGTAGATACTTCCAGATGTTACCATGATGGGCACAGATGGCACAGTGGTTAAGGTGTCGGACTCCCACACGGCCGACTGTGGTTCCAGTCCCGGACTTGGAGGCTTGAAAATCGTGCTGGGCATGTCTGCCCCAAATGCCAGGTGGAGAATGGAGAAGGGATTGTGGCATCTCTCCCGGGACAAGATTTCTCACTTTCCCTCTCTTTCTCTCTACGTGTTTCTGAAAAGTGCGCACACCCTATAGCAAAAATCTCTCTTTAAAAATGTGATTGTGATTGTAGTAATTGATGTGGAGCCGTGTGAAACATTTGGTGTCTCAGAAGTTACTTACACATTTTATTATTTACTGAGGTCAGAGAGAGAAACGGGCCGTGGGCCCTGCCATGCCGCTTGTATGGCTGCATGGAAAACTGCACTCAGAGCGCCGCTGGAGAGGACTCCCCGCCCAGAACACCCAGAGAGAGCCCAAGTCCAAAACCCGCGTGCGGCCCCTGCATGCTCTGCCTTTCCCTGCCGCAGGCCTGCACCAGGGAGGAGGACACGGGCACCAGTCTGTCCTATAAGTAAGAATGAAGGCCTCTCTGCCCGCAGGACACTACCCCGGCCCTGGGTGCCGAGTGCCCTCTGTGTCCAGCGCGGCGCTGAGGCTGCGGCAGCCCGAGTCCCACCAAGGCAGCTCGGCCCCACGTGGTGCTGGGGGAAGGCAGCACCTCCGTGAGAGGGAGCAGGCGCCGGGCACAGCTCTCTGTGCCCTCACTGGGGTCACGTGAACATGACAGTCACACTGCTGAACACGGAGCAAAATCCAACACTGCCCCAAAGCACAGGGTGGGGAGACCCCGGTCCGCGGGCCTGTGCTGTGGAAGGGCTTAACCACGAGTTACTCTTACGAGTCGCAAAAACGAGACATACTTGTCTGGGAACATCTTGTCCCAGGGTTCTTGGCGCCCTTGGTGCCTGTGTGCTGAGAATCACCCAGAACTTGAAGTGCAGATGGCAGGCCCTGGGGCGGCCACGTGGTCTGGGCTCTCTGGGGGCCGTGGCTCAGCCTCTGCCACTCTGACAACCCAGCTCTCAGCACCTCCCGAACCTACTGTCGGAGCCACCCAGATCTTTCAGGCTGCCAAACTCAGCATGGAGTTTCAGCCCTCCCCAGCACAGTGCACCTGTCACCCTCAACTCCTTGACACAGACGCCCACGGATTCCAGACCCTCGCATTCCCTGAGCCCGCCCACTGATCACCTGCCCCCTTCTGGGGTCCTCCCTTCTCTCCCCTCCGCCATCATCACCTGGCCCTGTGCTCAGTCCCCGCCTCTGGTCCCCACGGAAGCAGCCCCGGAACCTCCGCGTCTGGGGCTTGATGTCGTCATTTAAACACCGGTAAGTCAGACTTCAGTCTCCTGTGGGACCTCCCCAGCCTTCCAGTACCGGCTCATCACAGGCAAGTGCCCTGCGTGTGTGCCTGTGTGCACGCATGAAGTCAGCCTGTGGAGGCCTGTGTGAGTGTGTGAGAGGTGTGAGGGCGCCAGGGCTTGTTCCCATGTGGGGTACAGCCCCCAGAGCAGGCTGAGAGACAGAGAGAGGGAAAGTGAGAACTCACGCCCTGGGAGGGTGGTCCCGTTGCAGTACCTCCTCCATGCTCCTCTTGGGATTTGGGGCATGTACACATGTCAGGAGTGGTTTTTTCCCCCACAGGATTTTTTGCTATAAGGTGCATGTGCTCACCAGAGAGACACAGGGAGGGAGAGACAGAGAGGGAGAAATCACCCCCAGGAGGGATGGCCACGCCACATTCCCTTCCTCCAGTCACCTCTTGGGATTTTGGGCACACACGTACACACGACCGGCATGAGTTTTAAGCCATTGGGTCCAGGACTCAAGCCACGATCGACTACTTGGGAGTTGAGTGACATAACCACTATGCCATGTCCTGGTCCACACTGGGAGGGATTTTTAAGCCACTGCCTTCCGGACTGGAGATGCGCAATTAGCCGCATGGGGCCCACTGCCTTCACCTCCGTGCCACCTGCTGTCCTCTTGCTGCTTAGATCCAGCGAAGTAGACCAGAGCACAAGAGTGGGCCCTGAAGTGACGGCCACACGAGGGGCAAGGTGGGCTTCGGTCACCGCAGAGAGGAGCCCACCGATGCGACCAGGCGCAGAGTGTGAGCGGGCTCAGACTAAGGTGGGCAAGAAGCAGCACCGCGGGAGTGGTGTCGGGGGAAGAAGCAACAGGAAACGAGGGAACAAGTCATTCGCTCTTTCTGCCCAAACGCGAGCCACCTGCCCACCTTCCTCCACTGAATAGCCCTGGCTAAAGCAGGACGGCTTCCCAGGTAGA